CTAACAGAAGCAAAAACTGATAATAGAGTATAGAAAAGAACTAAAGTGGGGCCAGTGGATGGCATAGCGGTTATATCACTGGACTTCCACATAGCCAACTGTGGTTCAAGTTCCAGACCCGGTGACTTGAAAATCATACCAGATGAGGAACCAGCAGTTAGCGTAATGGCTATGTCGCTGGACTCCCACGTAGTCGACCGCGGTTCGTGTCCCGAACCCGGTGGCTTAAAACTCACGCCGGGCGCGTGTGTGTGCGTGCCCAAGATCCCAAGAGGAGAATGGAGGAGAAGGGAGTGCGGCGTGGCCATCCCCCTGGGGGGTGATTTCTCGCTTTCTGTCTCTATGTCTCTCTCTATCTGTCTGGCAAGCGCACGCGCCCTACAGTGAAAATCTCTCCAAAAAAAAAAAAAAATCATACCAGATGCATGTGCATGCATGCTCAAAATCCTGGTAGGAGAAAGGGATTGTGTTGTTGCCATCCCCGGGGGGTTATTCTTCATGTTCCCTCTCTCTCTCTCTTTCTCTCTCTCTCGCAAGCACATGTGCTCTAAGGCAAAAACCTCTTTTAAAAAAGATATGAACCAAAATACTAGAATGCACTCTACTAAAAGCAAATACTATTTTTGCCAAACATTTTCTTCACTGAAATGTGTACATTTATGTATACAAGTGTGTGATATATGTATCAATATTCATATCTATCTAGCTATATATCTATATCTATAATTATAATTATATCTGTATCTATATCTATATATCTATATCTATATATTAGGTTGTCAGGAAAGTCATGACATATTTTTCTTTGTTTTTCTGTGTGAAAATGTGTCATGACTTTCCTGACAACCCAATATTTATATAAAGATAGCCCAGTGTAACCAAGTGGGTGACAACGTAAAAGTATTTTCTTTCTTTGCTTTTCTTTTTTAGTTGCCAGAGGGTGAATGTGCTCACCAGAGAGAGAGACAAAGAGAAAGGGAGAGGGAGAAAGCACCCCCAATGGGGCGTGGTCATGCTGCAACCCCCTTCTCCTCCCTTTCTCCATCCTGTTGAAAGGCACTCAGCATGGGGGAATTCAACTCATTGAACCACTAGGCAACGGAACTGCCCATAAAAAGTATTTTCAACCATGAGCTGTGCCTCAAAAAGTTTGAGAGTTGCTGCACTATGGGCCCATTTCTACCCAATAGTCCAAGAATTTGCTTCCATGACATCTGAATTGCTTTTCTCATCACTAGAGCAAAATGGTCAACGAGAAACAAACAACAGTTCAGATAATGTAGACACAGTCCCTGATTCCAGCGATAGCAATCACTCAACACACATGCACTCACACACATACTCCAAGCCACAGGGAGGAGACACCTGGAAGATTCTGTCCTAACTCAGGAGGCAAGAATGTAAAGTGCAGCCCTCCATCAAGTGTAACCCTCCTTCCCAACCCCAAGGATGGACCCCTCTCCCCCACTCAAAGTTTGTGATTAAATGGCCCTGACAGACAACCCACTCTGAGGCAATTCCCACAGGAAAGGACTTTCTATACTAGAAAGAAAAGGGGCTAGGTAGGGTAAGAGGCAGAGAATTCTGGGAAACCAAAATAACATCCCACACCAACACTGCCTACTCTGAAAAAATTTTAAGTGGCTGGATCAATTGTAAATTGGACCAACTTCTCTAGAGGGCAACATGTTATAAAACAGTCACTGTACATTCTCTTTGTCCCATGAATTCTGCTTCCATTTTCTCCTGAGCAAATTATGGGACAAGTGAACAAAGATGCACAAGCAGTACAAAACAAAACGTAGAAACAGCTGCTAGCTGTCTACCAACAGGTTGGTCACCTGCAGCATCCATACAATAGGAAAATGACTGAGGCATGGAAGATGGGATGGTCCAGATGGATGTGGGGAAATGGCCAGGTTTATTATCTCATGAGAAGACACAGCAAGATATACACTGGAATAGCCAAACATCACTTTTCTTTTTGTTTTGTTTTGTTTGCTTTAAATATATGCTCTTTTGTTCAGTCTAGTTCTGTGTAGAATAGAAAGGTCAGGGGAAAAATAAGGATCTGGGGGCCTTGAACCAAAATATTCCAAGTGGATACATCTGAGAGAAATACTTTGACTCTACTTTGTGCCTTTCTACATTGTTCAATCATTTTTTTTCTTAACAAGTGCAGATATTACTTATCCGCTTGAAATAAAATAGAAAACTGTTCCTACTTAGGGAGGAGGCTTCTAGGCTCCTCCAGGACCGCCATGGGGAAGGTGAATATGGCCAAGTTGCGGAACATGAGCCAGGATGACTTCAGGGTCCTAACTGCGGTTGAAACGGGCATGAAGAACCATGAAATTGTTCCCTGCAGTTTGATCGCTTCTATAGCCAGCCTTAAATACGGTGGCTGCAATAAAGTTTTAAGAGAATTAGTGAAACACAAACTCGTAGCTTGGGAGCGTACCAAAAATGTCCAGGGCTATCGATTGACCAATGCAGGCTATGATTACCTGTCTTTGAAAACACTTTGTTCCAGACAGGTAGTTGAGTCTGTTGGAAACCAGATGGGTGTTGGCAAAGAAACAGATATTTACATCGTTGCAAATGAAGAAGGACTGCAATTTGCATTAAAACTTCACAGACTAGGAAGAACCTCCTTTCAAAATCTGAAAAACAAGCGTAATTATCATAAACACAGGCACAATGTGTCTTGGCTTTATTTATCTCATCTCTCTGCCATGAAGGAATTTGCTTATATGAAGGCATTGTATGAGAGGAAATTCCCAGTTCCAAAGCCAATTGATTATAATTGCCATGCAATGGTCATGGAACTCATAAACGGTTATCCACTATGTCAAATACACCATGTTGAAGATCCTGCATCAGTTTATGATGAAGCTATGGAACTAATTGTCAAACTTGTAAATCATGGGCTGATTCATGGAGATTTCAGTGAATTCAATCTCATTTTGGATAAAGATGACCATATCACCATGACTGATTTTCCACAGATGGTTCTAACTTCATCCCAACACTGAATGGTATTTTGACAGAGATGTTAAATGCATTAGAGATTTATTTTTGAAACGTTTTGGCTATAAAAGCGAGCTTTATCCAACCTTTAGTGATATCAGGAGAGAGGACTCTCTCGATGTAGAGGTTTCTGCTAGTGGCTACACAAAGGAATGCAAGCAGATGATGAACTGCTTCATCCCATAGGTCCAGATGATAAAAGTATTGAGACAGAGGAGGGATCTGAATTTCATTTTCTGATGAAGAGGTGCCAGAAAAAGCAAAGGTTTATAGGTCAGAAAATGAAAGTGAAGGCAAGTCTGCAGAAGAATCGGGTGGCTGCAGTTGCAGGTTGTCTAGAGACCTTGAACAAATAAAGGAAGACAGCTTATCAGAGGAGCGTACTGATGCACACAGTTTTGAACTGACTAGATTCAGTCCAGCTTTAGAAGAAGAAATAGAAGGGCAAGCTGTTGAAAACAGTTCTATAACTGAGCTTTCTGAGGAAAGAAACAGAACTGAGAATGGTGCCAGGCAAGATGGTCAGACAGGTCACAGAGGAGTGCCTGCTGGCTCCGAAGAGTGTGAAGATGAATGCCCTCATCTGATTGCCTTGTCATCATTAAACAAAGAATTCAGGCCTTTCAGCGATGAAGAAAATGTGGACGATATTAATAATTGTAGAAGAAGAACTCTCAGTATTACTTCTGCAGGCAGTGTCATAAGTTGTTCAACTATCCCTCCAGAACTGGTGAAACAGAAGGTGAAACATCAGTTGACAAAACAGCAAACATCAGCTATCAGACATTGATTGCAGAAAGGAGAAGCAAATATATTTACCAAGCAACAGAGAGAAAACATGCAGAATATTAAATCAAGTTTGGAAGCTGCTAACTTTTGGGGAGAATAATACATTTAAGATGTTGAACACTCTGTTTAAATTACCTTCAGTCTTTTGTGGACCAAGCCAATGTATAAATAGATAAATAAACCCACTTTCATCTATAAGTTTGATTCATTCATAATATGTCTTCCAAAGAATAATTAGAGTAATTCTTCTAGTGCAATACATTTTTTCAAAGTCTCTATGGAGAACAGGTAGAATATTTGGTTTGAAATCCCAGCTGTTCTACAGCCTTAAGCGTCATAGGTCTCTCTCCATTTTTTTCCTTCTCTGCCTCAGTTTTCTTAATGTTAAAATTGGATTTATGACTCTGTACTATTGATTTACAGATTACGTGAGATGAACATAAAGCATTTAGATCAGTGCCTACCTAGCACACTATAAGCATTCAACAAAGCATAGCTATTAGAGAAGTTATAACGTGTATCTTTTTGAAATTCCACTGACAACCTGGATGCATTTCATTAGCCACTTGGAGAATACATTGCTTTCTGTTATTTTTGTAGTCTCTGAATTAAGGATAAAGACCAGTTTTACTTAAAAAAAAAAGAAAGAAAGAAAAGAAAAAAGCAAAAGAAAAGAAAAGAAAAGAAAAGAAAAGAAAAGAAAAGAAAAGAAAAGAAAAGAAAAGAAAAGAAAAGAAAAGAAAAGAAAAGAAAAGAAAAGAAAAGAAAAGAAAAGAAAAGAAAAGAAAAGAAAATTGTTTCTACTTGGGAAAGTAATACTACTTGTTCCGGAGGGCAGTTAGGTGGGTAGCAGAGACCTCTTTCTCCCCGCCTTGGGCTCAAGGAGCGAGGGCAGCGGACCAGCGAGTCTGCCGTTCCCTGGCCTCACCGGCTGCCCTACCGCTGGACCACAGGCTGGAGCTGGGGATCCGGTTGTCTCCGGGCGCCCTCCTATGGCTCCGCCCCAGTTGCAGGCGCCTGGCACCACCCGCCAGTCGCGCTCACTCCTGCGCTTCTCTTGCTTCCCGCGGGTCCCGGCGTCCGCCTCTGCAGCTTCCCTTCCCTGATTCCGACTCAGCTTCTCACACCAGCCAGACCGACCACTGCAACTCCTCTGCATGGAGCCCAACGCATCCAGCAACATGTGCACCCCGGGGCTAGGGCCGGCACCCGGGCCTGGACCAGGGCTCGGACAGGGGCTGCACCCTGGGCCATACGCCGGCCACTTTTCGGCGCCGGTGACAGTGCTACTGGCTGTGCTCATGGCACTGCTGGCGCTGGCCACCGTGCTGGGCAATGCGCTGGTCGTGGTGGCCTTCGCTGTGGACCGTAGCCTGCGCTCCCGCGGCAACTTCTTTTTCCTTAACTTAGCGGTTGCGGACCTGCTGGTGGGTGAGTGCAACAGTGGCACGGTGGGGGCGGGGGACTCCAGAGTGGCAGCGCTGCAGAGGGAAGCTCTGCACTTGGAGATCTGCTCCAGGAGTTGCACCCCGACCGGGTCGGGAATGGGACGCCCACCTGCCTCCTCTCTGTGTCTGCAGGCGGCTTCTGCATCCCGCTGTACATCCCGTACGTCCTGACCGGGAAGTGGAAGTTTGGGAAGGGACTGTGTAAACTGTGGCTGGTGACCGATTATCTGGTGTGCACCGCTTCGGTCTTCAACATCGTCCTCATCAGTTATGACAGGTTCCTCTCTGTCACCAGGGCGGTAAGGAGGAGGAAGGCAGAGGAGGGGGTCAGGGGGGAGGGATGGAGGACAGGGGTGGCTAGGTTGGGTTTGGAGTTGCCAGGCTAGTTAGTGGGTAAGGGAAAACACTAGCATATCACTTCCATATAACAGGGGCCTTCAACATTCATGGAAATGTATGTAACGAAAAAAATATGCATGAATTTTTTTAAAATTGCACCAAAATAAACCTGTACTTCAATTTCATTTTTCCATGAACTTTCTGAAAGTCCCCTGGCATTTTCAGGACTCTACATATTCAAAAGGAAAGGAAAAAGAGATTCCAAGACCAGGTTACAAATACTGTTTTAAATACATCTAACAGGTTAAAAAAGTTACAATGCAATATAATTGTACTTTTCACAGAATTTTTAAAAATAATTATATAGTATATACCACTGGCATTGTGATCAAGCATGTGGTCAGAGAATGGGATGCAAATCTAAAGTCCTGTAATGACACCCTTATCTTTCCACCTCCTCAGTGTTCTTCCTGTTCATAGGCTCACCCAGAGTTCACTCAGGTACCTGCAATTGTCACCTCCTCAGAAAGGTCTTCTTTATTTACCTGAGTCAAAGAGCATCCCTGGCATGCTCCACTGTCCCTTCACTACTATACTATGCTTATCACCTCCTGACTTACAGGCGTCTGATTATCACCATATTCTAGGACGGCATCTGTCTCCCCCACTAGAACCTAAACTCCTTCAGGGGCAAAGGCTTGTCTAGCTCACTGACATACCCCCAGTTCTTGGAATGGTGATTTTTGCTAATTTAATGCATATTAAGTAACCTTATATGGAGATAAGACGAAAAGTGCAAAGTTGAGGCCCAGTAGAAAAATGACGTCGGTGCCAAGTGGCTTCTTGTCCTCCCTAGTTAAGAGTTCACAACTGCTGGCCCAGGCAGTGCTCAGTAGAAAGGGCCCCTGAGATGCCTCAGCATCTTTAGCCATACAGCAACAGGAAAGGCTTACATGAGCCATCATGGGGATACTCAACATGGCGGTGCTTTTTAGGGTGGTACAAGAGTTGGAAGACTTGGGTTCCAGACTTAATTTAGCCACTTCACATTATGCGACCTTGAACACACTGCAACACCTCTCTGAGTCTGTTTTCTTAACAGAAAAGAGAGATTAAAAAGCCCTTTGGCTATAACCACTATGATGGTTAATTCACGTGGTTCTCAACTCCCTATAAGTAGAAACTAGTTAATTTTTTAAAATTTTATTATTATTATTATTAATTTGCTATAGGGCACATGTGCTTACCAGAGAGAGATGAGAGAGAAAGTGAGAAAGCAAGCTACCAGGTTCAGTACTCAAACTGTGGTCAGCCACGTGAGAATTCAGTGCCTTAACCACTGCGCCACCTTTGGTCCTGAAACCAAAGTTTCTTTACCCCCATTTTGCAGCTGGAAATAAGGGTCAAAGAAATCAGCAAGGATAGAGGTTAAGCTTTTTTTTTTTTTTTTTTGAGAGATTTTGCCATGATCTTGCAGGGGAGACAGATAGAAAGTGAAAAGTCAACTCCCAAGGGGGAATGGCCATGCTGAAACTCCTTCTCCTCTAGAGATTTTAGGCACTCATGCACATGTGCCTGGTGTGAGTCTCAAGCCTCCAGGTCTGCAGTCAGCCATGTGGGAGTCCAGCAATTTAAACATTATGTCAAGCTTTAAATGAAATAGGAAGAGACCAGCAGATGGTATAATGCTTACATTGCTGGACTCCCACACAATCGACTGTGGTTTGAGTCCCAGACCCAGCGACTTAAGACTCACATCGGGCATGTGTGTGTGTATGCCCAAAATCCCAAGAGGAGAATGGAAGAGAAGGGATTGCCACATGGCCATCTCCCCTGGGGGGTGATTTCTTGCTTTCTCTCTCTGTCTCTCCAGCAAGCACATGTGCCCTATATCAAAAATCTAAAAAAAAAAAAGAAAGAAACAGGAAGAAACCTGGAGAGTGAAAAGGCGAACTTTCCTTCAAACTTAAAACCCTTTTTATCTTTTATACAAATAATCCATGTTCACTGTAGAAAATTAGAAAATAGCAACAATCTGTGTTCAACACCCACAAGACCTTATGGTCTGAGAATCCCCACCCCTTCCCACCCTTTCTCAGAGGCAGGGCCACTGCTAAGTCTACTCTGTGGCACCCACACAGTTTGCTTTACTTATAGCTGTAGTTCCCAGCCCACTTTGAGTTTATAATTGACTCGGATTTAAAATTGGGGCCAAGTATTGGCTTTTTGTTTTAATGTCTTAAGTTGGGGCTGACTCCTTGGCCTGGTGGTTAAGGATCCCACATGCCCAACCCCATGATTCAATCCTAGACCTGGGACTTGAGAATCATACCAGGCTTGTATGTGTGCATGCCCAAAATTCCAGAAGGAGGGAGGGAAGTAGAAAGGATTGCAAATGTGATCATGCCCCATGGGGGGCTGCTTTTCTTCTCCCTCTTTGTCTCTCTGGTGAGCACATGTACTGTCTAGCAGAAAAAAAAAAACAAAATGGAGTGGGGGTTGATTATACAGTACAGCCGAGAATAAAAACACTGATTTTCATCATGGTTCCAGCTCAGCTCTTCCTTGTTACTGTTACTTACATTCCCCTCGTATTTACTTACAAACATTTCCTAAATACAACATCGTCTATAGTGCATTTTCTAATTTTCCAGGAGCTCAGAGAACCCATTGCTTGGGTTCAAGATCCTGACATCCTCCCTTGGGAATCAGGCTTTCTTTACTCTGAATGAAAGGCTTTGTGTACAATATAAGTGTATACAGTGCAATCGCCTGATGACCAGTATTCAGTGTTCTGCACTGACCCATATGGAAAGATGAGTATTCTGCTCTAGTGATGCACACTCTGATCTGCAGCATGAAAGCCCATTTGAAGAAAAACTTCCATCTCCCAACTCTTTCAAGCATCTTTGATTCCCCAGCACTTTTTGGGCAAACCAAAGTTTACAGGTGGGAAAAAAAAGTCGATAATTTTTATTCTTTACTTTTTTGCCTTTACAGATTATTTTTACATGCAATAATAGTGATAATTAATGTTTTGGGCTTATATTAACTCAGACATTGTTCATTTTTTTTTGGAGAGGTTTTTTCTTTGGGCGCGTGCGGTCGCCAGACAGAGACAGAGAGACAGAAAGCGAGAAATCACCCCCCCCAGGGGAAATGGCCACGCCGCAATCCCTTCTCCTCCATTCTCCTCTTGGGATCTTGGGCACGTACGCACACACAACTGGCATGAGTTTTAAGCCACCGGGTCCGGGATGCGAACCATAGTCGACTACATGGGAGTCCAGCTGACAAAGCCATTACGCTAACTGCTGGTCTCCTTAGACATTGTTCTAAGAACTTTATTTGAATTATATCCAAGATGGGTCATGACAACCCTGTGGTCTAAGTAAAATACTGTCTTATTTTACACATGAAGAAACTGAGGCATTCAGAGGTTAAGCAAATTGCCTAGGACAAACCACTGGTCAAGTGATAGTGGGCATTTTAATCAAAGCTACCTGACTTCACAGAGAGCCTCTGCTTTAAATCCCCTACAGGATAGTAGAGGAGACTGAATTGGTCAAGAGTAAAAATATTGAATGAACACATAAAGTTATAGGAGGTGCTTAAAAGACAAAAGAAGTGCAGTGTAATACAGTGCACCTGTGAGTGCTGAGTGAATTAATGTGTTCTGAAGGGTGTGTTTTCATACATGTACAAATACCACCAACATCCAAACGGACAGACCTTGAACCTCTTCCCAAGAGGAACTCTTTTTACTTATTGTAAAGAAGCTACTTGGAGTGGAATAGTATAGCTGGGGAAGAAATAGTGGATATGGAAATGGAGTCCATCTATCCCCAAACATTGACTATATTAAAAGCTAATATTTGGCTTAATTTTTGGCACCTTGCTGTAATAGCCTTGTGAGGAAAGCTGCCTCAGCCTCTCTAACTGGCCCCTGCCATTTTCCTCAGGTGACTTACAGGGCTCAGAAGAACATGACCAGAGATGCCATCTTAAAGATGGTGCTGGTGTGGATGGCAGCGTTCCTTCTCTATGGGCCTGCCATCATTAGCTGGGAGTATGTGGCCAAAAGAAGCATCCTGCCCCGGGGTGAGTGCTATGCTGAGTTCTGCTACAACTGGTACTTCCTGATGACAGCCTCCATCATTGAATTCTTCACCCCTTTCATCAGCGTCACATACTTCAATCTGAGCATCTATATCAACATTCAGAAACGCACCTCCCTGAGGAATAACAACTTTGCCCGTAGCCAAAATGGCATGGAAATGAACTTCCAGGAGAGAGAAAAGAAACACGTATTTTTTGTTAAACCAGCTGAGAGGAATGGGAAGAAAAGGGACCAGGGCTTCTCCCTAAGGCACCAGGTTCTTTCCTCAGAGGTTCCTGAGACTCAGGATTTACCACCTCTGGAGGTGGACCTTGGAACTAAATCACAACAAGGCTGGCAGAACCACTGCAGAGTTAGCGAAAATGTCTGCAACGTCCTGAGGCAACCAGATCTCTCCAATACCGTGGCCAGCTGCCTGCAGCTCTCCCGAGATAAGCGAGTGGCCAAGTCTCTGGCCATCATCGTGTGTGTGTTTGGCCTGTGTTGGGCTCCCTACACCTTTCTCATGATCATCCGAGCTGCTTGCCACGGCACATGCGTCTGGCATGTTTTCTATGAGACATTCTTCTGGCTCCTCTGGGTGAATTCAGCTATCAACCCTATTCTGTACCCACTCTGCCACATGAGTTTCAGAAAAGCATTCATCAAACTGTTGTGCCCTGGAAAGGCCAAGATCCATCCTCATTTGTACACGTGACAGAAAGATCTCTGGTATCAGATTGCCTAACCCCTTGTGTTTCATAAAGGAAAGATAGTCACAAACACTTCCCTAGGCCACGGTCATCCTGATCTTCACTTTAGTCTCTGCCACAAGAAATCATGGAACCCACATAAAAAGAAGTCCCTGCAAGTACCTTTAAAATGGTGCCTATGGCGCCGGGCGCGCGTGTGTGCGTGCCCAAAAGATCCCAAGAGGAGAATGGAGAAGGGATTGCGGTGTGGCCATCCCCCCTGGGGGGTGATTTCTTGCTTTCTGTCTCTCTGTCTCTGTCTGTCTGGTGAGCGCACGCACCCTATAGCAAAAACCTCTAAAAAAAAAAAAATTGGTGCCTATGGAATTATCACCTAGGGCTCTGTTAGTTAGAATGGTCCCTGGGTTAGCAGCATGGGGATTTCCTGGGGGCTTATTATATATGTGGAATCTGGCACTCTAGACCTGCTGGATTCCTGAATCTGTATTTTAACAAGACCCCCAGCTGACTTGGATGTTTAATAAAGTTTAAGAATCACTGGTCCAGGGGATATGTAGGAAGATAAAAATGGTTGGAAAAAATGTGGTTTTGTACTACCCCATTTCCTGTGGAGACATCCTTTTTAAAAATCACTGTGATTTAAGTTTATGTTAATTGCACCAAATTTGCATGCACCATCTTATCAATCCACTTTATTCTTTCATAATGATTTCTATATTCAACATCTTGCTATTCCATCACCTTTGTGTTTCTGAAGATAGTAAGGCTTGAAAAAAGAAATGATAGAATCTGGTTTTACAAAACATACCAGACAGACCTTACATTTTACATTTACAAAAATATAACAGTCAAGTCCAGCAGGGGGCATGATAGTTAAGACTCTAGATTCTCACATGGCTGACTGGTTCGAGTCTTAGAGCTGGTGGCATGAAAGTAACTCAATGTGTTTGTGTGCCTAAAATCCTGAGAGGAGAATGGTGGAGAGATTACAGTGTGACCATTTCCCCTGGGGGGTAACTTCTCAAATCACAACAGCATTGGCAGAACTTTCTCTCTAGCAAGTGCATGCACCCTAAGGCAAAAAAAAAAAAGTGTTCCTCAATGTAAGAGATTATACCTAGTAATCATGAAGCTTCCAAAGATATTTCTTTATCTCTATTGGTTGACTGAAAACAGATTTAAGTCACAGCCCAAGCTCTTACTTTAGTCATAAGAAGAAATTACACTATTTTTTTTTCTTTTTTAATTTTTTTTGAGAGGTTTTTGCTATAGGGCGCGTGCACTCGCCAGACAGAGAGAGACAGAAAGACAGAAAGTGAGAAATCCCCCCCCAAGGGGAATGGCCCCGCCGCAATCCCTTCTCCTCCATTCTCCTCTCGGGATCTTGGGCACACACGCACACACGTCCGGCGTGAGTTTTAAGCCACCGGGTCCGGGACTCGAACTGCGGTCGACTATGGGAGTCCAGTGACATAGCCATTACACTAACTGCTGGTCCCTTCTTTTTTAATTTTTTAGAGAGGGTGTGTGCAGACTGGGAAGTGAGGAAGAGAGAGTGAGAAGGAAACTCCCATGGGTGGTCACACTGCAGTCCCTTCTCTTCCATCTCTCCTTTCAGAATTTTGGGCACGCATGCACATAAGCCTGACCTGTTTTCCAAGCTGCCAGGTCTGGGGCTCAAATGAGGGAGTCAGCCAGGTGAGATCCAGCCATCTTAACCACATCACCAGGTCCCCAATAAGAAAAAGCTAACCAAAGGCTTAACACTGCAACAAGTGCTGAAATACAGTCTATCTCCAGATTTTTAGAAGTGTGAACCCAGTTTTGTTGGTACACTGCAAGGGTGACCTAGAGGAGTGAACAGCAGTATGAGATTTATCCCAGTCACTTCCAAATGATGTTTTAATAACCACAGCCAGGGAACTTTGGTCTTTAATCAAACCTAGGGCAGATCACTACTCTAGAAACTCTAGCATGCATTAAGTGTGTTGCTATCCACAACTGAATCAGTGGCTGCTGTCCATCCCAGGGGCATCCCCATAGCATCAACCATAACAGGCCTTCTTTTCCAGATTTCCTACTCAGCACTTTTCATTTACAATGTGTGCCCTGTTGTCATCCTCCAAGCAACCGCGTAGTGGAGCATAGCTATGGCACAATACTTTCTCCATCCTGTTGGGATTCTGTGCAAGTACACTCAAGTGCCTGGTGTGTTTTTCAAGCCAAGGCTTGGATTTGAACTGTGGTTGGCCATGTGAGATCTGGCTTCCTTAATCACTAGGGTCAGGGCTGGCCCTCAACTCTATTCTGCTTAAACTTAGTACCTCGGATTCTCAAAATGAGAGAAAAAATGTAATGGAAGTCTCTACTGCATTCTAGACTTTGTGTTTAAATCCCATCAGTGTCGATGGCACATTTATTCCTATGGTCTGTCCTATTTCTCAGTGACTCTAAGAACTCCCACAGGAACTGTATTATAACTAAAATTATTCTTCAAAGAACTCTGATGCCTTATCATCGCCCTCTTTCAACAACATATTATCACCCTAAAACCCAGTCAGGCCCTTAACAGACATGGTGGTATCCCAGTTTATTAACCTGATGACCACCAATCTCAGGGCTCTAAATCCAGTCAGAATGACTATAGGCTATGCAGCCATCATCTAGACTCTAAGAATGACTGGTCTGCCGTGTGGAGACAATAAAAGGTTGGCAGGGAAGTTCTAAGAGTAAGTACCTCTCCTCCACATCACCTTCCTGGTTATGTCTTCTCATTACTATCCTCTGGTCTTGGACGTTTTGCCATCTAGCACTAGGCCTGCCCTGGTTCAGTGCTCCCCACTGCTCCAATCAATTATGGACAGGTACTTTATAAGATACAATAAAAAATTACTAGAAGGGGAATGGGAGCAAGGGGAAATCCAAATTTGCTATAATCCCATCCAATAGACATAAAACCACTCTTCTCATGTTGCTTATGAACATTCTTAAATGCTTAGCCAAATATGTATATATAAATA